GTGATGTGACATGTGGCCAAGTATGGTGACCCATACTCAGAATTAGTGCTCTGCATTTAAGGGTTACAAGTCCGACTCTCTAACCATTAGGCCACGACTTCCCCAGTACATTAAAGTACATTTAAAAAAAAAAAGACCATGCCCTGGTTAACTGCTAGTTAGTTTTAATGGCTTATGCAACTGGCGGCAGGTTAGCAGGTTAGCCTATAAAGAACCCTGAAATCAAATTCAGCTCTCTCTCCCTCACACACACACACACACACACACACACACACACACACTCTCTCACACACACACACAGGCACACGAATGAAGGTGAATTTGTAGTGTTGACTTTTACAATTAGCCTTGTAATAGAAATGTATGGCTGCGGCGACGTTTTAATGCAGTCCGTTAAACGGCTTCGCTCAGGCGCGGGAGAATCTGTGAATCCATCAGGGCTGCTGGGTAATGGAAGGAGGATTTATCGCGGGAAAATTCAGCGCAGAAAATGAAACCCGCTTATTTTTCAGCATCCCTAAATTCTGTAGCAATTAATCTGCCCAATTTGATTACGAACGGCGCAAATTAAACAATAAAGAGCTGTCTAATGAGGAATTAATTATGGGGCGCGCGGGGTTTGAGGGGCGGGAATGTTAGCGCGCGAAACGAGACAAACGGCCGCGGCTCAATGTGCGGCGGGACTGATAGCGGCGCGCGAGCTGATCGTGAAGATGAGGCGGAATCAATCGCGCTTTAACGGCCTCATTACACGGAGCTGACCTCCGCACACGGAAAGCAGAAGCGGATTTATCGCTGTAATAGTCTGAGGGAGACTGTGATTTAGCCGTCAGAGCGTTCCGTGATTAAACACAGCGCTCAGCCGCAGACAGAGACAGCACGGGTTCAGTTATCAGGGAAGCAGCCCAAAGCAGCTCCAGAGATTAATTCATAATAATAGTTTTACACAGTAAATTAGGTTGAAGGTGCTGGAATCCACGCATACTTTTAAAAATAAAGCTTCTTTATTGTTATCTGTGATTCCAGCCTTTAACATCCACGCAATTTGGGATTCTTTAGGGAACCCAAAATGGTTCTTCCATGGCACCACTGCAAAAACCCCTTTGAAGCCTTTATTTTTTAAGAGTGCAGGGTCTGACAGAAGAGCCCGTCCAGATTCACATGCATAATTTCAATTGGACTCAGCAGAGCTCGCATTTAGGCTACTTAGTTTTTTGTAGTTGAACTGGTGATGCAAAGAGAGGACAGATTTAGAGTTTTCATAAGGCAGGTTTTATCAGAACTGTTCTGGTTTGATTCAGCGGGTTTAGGTTAGGCTATAGATTACTACACTGAGATACACTACTCAACATTTGAAGTGGATCAAAACCTTTCATCAAAGTTATCCTAAAACCTAAATGCGTTCTTGTCTTAGGATAACTTTGATTCACTTTTTTGATCCACTTCAAATGTTGACTACTGTATATCAGGCAATATTAATGAACATTGGAAAATACTATATTTAAACAAGGCATATTTAATAAAATCAAATGGGCAAATTGCACTCAAACAACCTTAACCCAGAAAAACAAATCAATAAATAAACAGATCCACCATTTATTGTCAAGTAAGTAGAAAATGTTTAACTACTACCAAGCAACAATCAATATTTATAATATACGCATTTATTTGTTGTACTGTTTTAACAATGGTTAATTTATAACCAAATAGGCTAATCAGAGTCTTTCACCAATAAATATGATTATTTAAATTCCCATGCAACTACTGAAAGCGGTAAAACCATGCATAAAACATATCAATCTGTGACGAAACCAACCAGTAAAATAGTACAGTTGTTTAATATTTAATATGGACTAATTCGTCTTATTTTTCTAATGCGCATGCAGTGGATTGAATGCTTTGGTGTCTCAGAAACGGCGTTTTTACCAAACAGTCAATATTTGATTTGTTAGCTTGCTATCCGCGTATTAAGCATTTCATTAAGTTTTATTAAGCACTCAGTCAGTGAATCCACCGAGCAAACACGTTATTCAGCTCAGTGAGTTGGGATTAATGCTATTAGTTCTGTGTGTAAAACTGCTGCTAATTAAATCTCATCTGCAGGTAATTGAGACACGAGCTCAGAGTCAGGCGCTTTGAACAGCAAGCAAACGCGTCCCGTGTGTGGAAGCTGCTTTCTCTGCAATCTAAAACTATTTACAATATTTCAACAATTGTCCAAGTTAGATCGCAAATATCAAGCGTGTGTGAAACACAAGATTCACAAGATCCATCTTTTCTGATGCCCGAGATTTCATTGAGACCCTACAGTTAGAAATGTTTCATTCATAAATATGTGTCCCCTCATAATAATAATAATAATAGCCTAAAATAAAAAAAAATTAAAATCTGCAAGATGCTGGATAAACTATGCTTAAAATAGAGATCACGATTGTGATGTTTAGTTTTTTTTTTTCAGTAAATAAAACCAGAATATTAACTTATTACAATATACTAGCATTCTGACAAATACATGTTTATACAAAATGTTCTGCTTCAGTTTATTAACAATGCGATAAAAATGCAACAATGAAAAAAACAACAATGCAGAAAACATCAGAGTGATGACTGAGCAAAAGTGACTGACACATCACTAATATATCATGCCACTGGAAAAATGGTTTGATGCATTACTCATAAACCAAACTCTTTTTTGTGTACGTAAATGTAAAATCAATAATATGAATGAATCAGTGACTTACTCATTAAGACAGTCTTTCCTCACTGCAGCAATGTTTTTGAATAAAAAAACCTAACAATCCAATGACTGGCTAACAAAGACAGTTGTTTCGATCCTGAATAAATCAATGTTTTGAATAGGTTGAACTAAATATTCTAATGGCTCACTCATAAAGTCACAGTCAGCCCTACAGGCGGAGAGATGTAACCTGTTTTCTCTGTTTTTGGTAAGTTTACAGTGTTAAATCTAGTTCATCTAGTGAACGCTAGCCTTTCTGAATCCGCAGTGAAGCCTTCGAATCTTTACTGTACTTCCTAGAGAAATTAGATAAATAGACAGCCGACACATTTAAAAATATTTACAATTTAACAATTAATTTCTAATATAAATAATTCTCATATAACCACCAATTTACAAATTAACTGAACAATCATGTCACAGAGAGATTATAGCTATTGTTTTATCGAACATCTTAAATAGAGAATGTAAATGTGTAGGCCTCTATGTTTTCAAATGTGTTTACTCTGACAATAAATCTGCTTGAATTTTGGGAAAGAGAGAGAAAGAGAGAGAGAGAGCTGAACTGACAAGCGCTTTCGGAGACTCGCGTTTAGCAGCTTAAATAACCGTAAGGCATCCAGTGGCCCTTTACGCCTGATTGCGCTAATTGTTTGAAATAGGAGACATTATCTGTAATGACTGTCTTTCATCTTCAGCGAGAGCATCATAATGTCGCGACGCGTTATTAAGACTCAATCAGCGCATCTGTCGGGACGCGTCGCTTATATCCGAGGACTCACCATCATGTAAACGACACGAATCAGAGTACACCGCATGGGTTTGTGCGGTTTAAGCAGCTTAATGGGACACACATGTTCCGCAGTGACAGAGATCCCGAAACCGAGGCCACAAACGTTTCCCTCGGACCCTCTTTTGATATCCACGGAACCTTTTAAGTCTTTTAAGTCAGAATTGACAGACTCTGCATGAAAAGGGCTAAGACAACTCTCGGAGAGAGACGACAAAGGCTCTTTGTCTCGCGTGCCTGCCTCCAGACTCGGAATCAAAGGTGGAGTTTGTGAAGTTACACAAAGCTCTGATGAGACTTACAGTCGCTTTGCATCGCAGTTCAGCCCTCATTTGTTGCCCTGAGATTTCAATAAAAGCTATGTTAATCACCTTCTCCACGGCACATCATTGGTCCTAAAGCGCAGTGTTTGGCATGCTAATTACCCCTAACTCTGTTCCCTACACAAACACAAACACCGACGCCAGATACTACTCCCTTACACCTCCTCGTGCAGCGGTGGGTAATGCGTCTCGTGTGTGCAGGTTTGTGTTTATGTTGCTCATTTTTACTGCGGAAGGATCAAACATTCCCGCAGCGCGAGACTTCAAAGCGCCACTCATCTCATCTAATGGGCTCTAAGTGTCTCCAAGCATAATTACAGATTCATTCCGTTTAAATGAATGCCGGATGTGAAATTAAGGAAAAGCTAAATTACCGCTTGCGTGTAATTTTTATCAGTTACAACCAAATGCAGTTTACGAAAGAGGAGAGCTGCTTTAAGCCACAGCATGCAGTAAACTGAAAACATTGCAATCAGGAACTTACACTTAACGCTGATTTATTATTAATATTCGTGTTGCGAAGCAGTTAATTTGCCTAACTCTCCTGTCATCGCAATATCTGATGTGCTCTATTACAGCAGCTAGTAAACAGAGAGAGAGAGAGAGAGCTTGTAAATGGCTTGCGATCGTTTAAGAAACTCTAAATGTCCTGCGGCTGCTCGCGAGGGTTAAAGTTCCGTGCTTTGATCCCGCCGCTGCTGGCGCCAAAAAGCAACATCACCGAGACTAATTACCTCGGTAATCACCACTTATTGATTATGTTCAGCAATTACTGGAGCTGATACTGTAGAGACACGTCGCGGTGTGTATATTCGATTCTTTGCGCATTCTCTATAAAAAAAAAATAGGCAAGCAGCAAAAGAACAAGTCAAAATAAATTAAATGTAGTCACAAACAGTAATTGTCACTGCAGTTATTTATCGTTAATTTCATAACACTTGAAAAGTAGAATGCATTACAACATGCAGTATCCTCCTTTATTTTGCGCGGTGTTTTCGTTGCAAAACTCCACACAGATACACAAACACAACACGACAGTCAAACTTCAGGAGAAACTTAAGCCCCGCCCCGCCCTGTTCTGATTGGATGACGCGCGTGTTATTAGCTTACAGAGGAGTTAAACAGCAGCATGTTCTAAGCATCCGATCTCTCACTGTATACTAAAAACCAAGTGAAACTCGTGCATGGCCCCAGTCATCACTATGACTTCTACTGGTTGTAAAGCTGAAGATCATTCCCGTGTGATTTTAGGAGATAAAGGAGAGATGCAGACCAGCATCGGTGTGGAGGAGGACGCAGAGAAACAGAAGATTCTCCCGTTCAGCGTCGAGGCTCTGATGGCAGAACGGAGACCGACCTCCTCCGCCGGAGCGTCGCATACTCACGCGGATCCGGAGCGGACCGGTGCTCGTTTGGCGTTCTCCGTTGACGTTCTGAAACTGTCGGAGACGTCGGAGCGGAGCGCATGGATGCATCACCTCTCTCCCCGTGAGTTACAGCAATGCACTGGCCAAAGCAGAGCTTGTGAAGCAATTAACTGTTGCATGCTTTGAACTGGTACATATGAGCTCAGATTCATATCTGCAACAACGTGCACAGAGGCCCTCCCTTTACCAAAATTAATCATAGTTTTATTATAGTAAAATAATTAAAATAAAAAAAATGTAATTGTTTAAATGAATGTACAGATATGTTATTGTGCAGATTACAAATGTACAAATTTCGAATTATATAATATGTGGTTGTTTACCATTTGTATAACTACAGTTTTACTACAAATACCTTTAAACTAAGGTTAATGTATTCAAACCATGGTTAATTTTTATAAGGGACTTGGTTTGGCTTGATTGAGGTCACCAGAGACATTGATGAATTATTATACACTAAATCTGCCCAACAAAATTATCTAAGACATATTTAAAAGTTCTTAAAGGCGTTTAAGACTGCACTGACCATGTTTAAGTGCACCAATAATGTGATTTCTTCCAATAACTTAAGACATTTAAGTGCCTGTTTATTGAGATTAAAATCGGCATATTCTACTACGATTATGATTGCTACTATTATGAACATATTTGTGACCATGGACCACAAAACCAGTCATAAGATTTATACATCATCTGAAAGCTGAATAAATTAGCTTTCCATTGATGTGTGGTTTGTTAGGATCGGACAATATTTGAAAATCTGGAATCTGAGGGTGCAAAAAAATCTAAATATTGAGAAAATCATCTTTAAAGTTGTTCAAATTAAGTTCTTAGCAATGCATATTACTAATCAAAAATTAAGTTTTGATATATTTACGGTAGGAAATTTACAAAATATCTTCATGGAACATGATCTTTACTTAATATCGTAATGATTTTTGGCATAAAAGAAAAAACAATAATTCTGACCCATACAATGTATTGTTGGCTATTGTTACAAATATACCCCAGCGACTTAACACTGCTTTTGTGCTGCAGGGACACATATGCATCAGTTTGATCTAAGTAGCCTACTGTGTTTACGTGAAGCTCGTTTAATGCAATATTAAATCTCATTATATTCGCATTATGAGGTTTGGTGTGACAGTAGTTTTGCAGAGCTCTAAAGTAGTGTGAGAGATGAGTGTAAAGGTCGTCGTGTTGTTGTTGTTGTCTCCAGGGCGTCTCAGTCCTCCCGCGTGTCCTCTGAGAAAACACAAAACCAACCGGAAGCCTCGGACCCCGTTTAGCACGTCGCAGCTGCTGGCGCTGGAGCGGAAGTTCCGTCAGAAACAGTACCTGTCCATCGCAGAACGGGCCGAGTTCTCCAGCTCGCTGAGCCTGACCGAGACTCAGGTGAAGATCTGGTTCCAGAACAGACGAGCTAAAGCCAAGCGGCTCCAGGAGGCCGAACTCCAGAAGATCAAGATGGCCTCTAAACCGATGCTTCCTCCCGCCTTCGGGATTTCATTTCCATTCGGCGCTCACGCTCCGGCTTCATACACGGCATCGCCTCCGTTTCACCGACACTCGCTGAGCGTGACTCCGGTGGGACTGTACACACACATGGGATACAGCATGTACCATTTAGCTTAAAGGACGATGAGACTTTCTCTGCATCTTCAGCGACTCTGTTCCGACAAAAGTGGACATGCTTTACTCTAATGGTGGTATTGCACACAGCCTGTACTGTCACAGAGAGTTATGAACACAGATTTGGTCAAAGGTAGGTCAGGTGAAAACAGTCTGTATCTCACACTTGCATTCGTAGCGATGCGTTTATGATTCAAACTCGCGTCAGTGTTTTAAACGATAGCAAAAATAAACACAGACTGTTGTTTAAATGATTCCCTTCGATAGGGCTCTGAAATGTAAAATATTGTACATTTGGACAAAAATACCATTTATATGATGAATATATTTGTTAAATTAATTAATGACAAATGGTCTATTCTTTGCTTTCTCCTTTGTTTCGCAGAAACATGGTCTAGATTGTGAGAGGGATTCTAAAACACGTACCAAAATGGAAGCAAAATATTTCCTATTTGATGATGACTCGATGCAAAAACCATAAAATCACCCAAACAAACAAAATTCCTAACTCCTTCAAAATCATGCAAAGCAGATTAAAGAGTCGATCATATTTTTGTTTGCTTTATGAGGCTGGCATATGTCAATGAAATTTAAAACCACTCAATAGTTCTACACATATTTAAACTATATTTTAATTTGTGGAGCCAGATTAACATCAAAGGTTTCTTGCTCAGCACACATGGTAATGGTACATAAGCGACTTAACACTGCTTTTGTGTTGCAGGGACACATATGCATCAGTTTGATCTAAGTAGCCTACTGTTTTTACGTGAAGCTCGTTTAATGCAATATTAAATCTCATTATATTCGCATTATGAGGTTTGGTGTGACAGTAGTTTTGCAGAGCTCTAAAGTAGTGTGAGAGATGAGTGTAAAGGTCGTCGTGTTGTTGTTGCACATCTACTAAACCGTGTCTTGTGCGCAGTTCAAACAAGCGAGCGAAACTAAAGATTGGATTTAGACCTGAAATTACCTTGAATGCTTTGACTGGAATCCTCTTATTGAAGGGATGAAACTACAGCGAACACACTGAGTTTGGAGCCCTGCAGCACATTACAGAGCAGAGGTTACAGCTCATGTTTACAGCATCGAGAGCAATCAAGACAAGCATTCACTGTGCATAGCCTATCACTGATGAATTCTGCATCCATTCATTGCTGATAACCTCAGCAAATCTAGTTAAAATGCCAGTATTAACCTATAATATTATATTATTAGTATTATAAGAATAAATGTAATCATTGAAGCTGGGTCACATGTTGGCTTGGTGCTTCAAACACTTGTAATCATTCTAGAGATGAGCACTGAAACTGAAGCAAACATGCGATTTTCAGGAAAAACGCATCTATGAAATATCAGAATTGATATAGTTTGTGTGTGAACAATGGCGAGGGCTGAAAAGATTGCGCTGGGACTGGAGTCAGTGCTCGGTAATTAATAAAAGCTCTAATGACAATAAGATGAGGATCACACGGGTGAGCGCGCGGGCTGAAAGCCCACAAAAGATCTGAAGGAATCTGTCTCTGTTCAGAAGAGGTCACTCACTCTCTCTCTCTCTCTCTCTTCACGCCCCGGGCTAAAGGAGACAAAAGTCACTTGTTTTTATCATCCAAACTATCACAACGGGACGTTTGCGAAGAGAATCGGGCTTCATTTCACTGGCGCCACGTCTGTCTTTCTCTCTTCATTCAAAGCAGAGAAGCGAGATCAGACCTTTAGACGCATGCAGAGGCGCCTTTGACTGGTAATATAACCTATAAACCAATCTAAACGAACCTAAATTAGGGTTAAACATTAAAATAATGAAACCATAAATTACACTTTTAAATAATAAATTAACCGCACAGTTGACGTTATTTACGTTCACTTGAAAGAAATTAAACATGCACGTAATCGGTGCAAATGCGTTACAGATTATGTATATTATGGTATATATCGGTTGTTCTTCTTTCCTGTTTATAGAAGGTTAGGGATTTTTCAGCATTCCCATGACATTTCAAACTTCATAATGTGTCGGTACTGGTGCTTATTTTATTTGCTTATATTGACAAATTACATTTAAAAGATTTAAAATATATATATTCTTTCCGTCCTGTTAACTCCGAATTTGTCATTTCTGAAAATATTTCTGAAGCACCGTCTGTTTAAGAGAGAGAGAGAGAATATTTGAAGACCCAATATTAATAGTCCATTTCCCTGGAATATATTACGTCAACTAATTGCAAAAATATTTTCCATTCACTGGAATGACACACAGTGGGGAAAAGCAATAACGTCTGGAAGAAGTGTCCATGAAACAAATGCGGCATCGAAAACAATTATTTTGGTTTCAAGTTCGCATCTGCATTAAAAGCTGAGATGTCGGCTGTGGGTTTGATTTTGTCATAAGTTATAGCGCCCCCTCACGGTTCATGCAACTAAATTATTTGCAGGATATTTACTCAACATTTAACGGCAAACCGTTTGTTTATAATAACAGAAAACCATCGCTTCAAACGTTTTTTAAACATAGGCGTACAGTTTCAGTGATTTATTTGACACATGAAATGCACGCTGACATATAGGCCCTACATTGAAAACTGAGACCGTGAGAAAAATACATAAAGTTCTGGCATCTGCTTAAATAAAAGATCAGTTTATATAGACATGCACTGTAAAACCCAACTGGAAAATAATAGGCCTATAATATTAACAACAGATTAACCCAACCACACAATTGTATCATTACGACTAGTCATACGACAATAAGCTTCTCTCATTATAACCCTGCGATGGTGGATGTTTACATCGTGTGGTATCGTGAACTGACAACATCCCAAACTAAATGACTACATTAAAGAAAAATTAATTATTTAAGAGTGATACATATTTACTGCAGTATTCGTTTTATAAGTGTGCGCTGAACAGGAATTGTAGATATTTTGGCTTTCGTGGCAATTCAGTTTCATGATTTTTGTTTTCATAAGCTTCTCTGGCAAGAAACACACATGCCCATGTGAATACAAAATAATATATGATTCTGCAAAATAAGATGGAAAAAAAATTAAGGAAAAATGATCAAAGATACACCAGTGAGAAAAGCGTGCATTAAGGTGTGCAATTAATCAAATATAGTTTTGTGTAATATTTAACCAACACGTTTCATGACACGAGCATGAAATCATCTACAGACACGAGATGTGGCCTGTTCCTCATCATTCTCCAGCTACAGCCTCCATTCTGCAGTTATTTACCCCAGTTAACTGATATACATGACTAACATCCATAGTTTTCCTTAAATATTTAGCAGACCTATTTCACATTTCATAAATAAGTGACCTTAAACACATACACATCTGTGTCCCTGCAGCACAAAAGCAGTGTTAAGTCGCTGGGGTATATTTGTAGCAATAGCCAACAATACATTGTATGGGTCAAAATTATAGATTTTTCTTTTATGCCAAAAATCATTAGGATATTAAGTAAAGATCATGTTCCATGAAGATATTTAGTACATTTCCTACCGTAAATATATCAAAACTTAATTTTTGATTAGTAATATGCATTGCTAAGAACTTCATTTGAACAACTTTAAAGATGATTTTCTCAATATTTAGATTTTTTTGCACCCTCAGATTCCAGATTTTCAAATATTGTCCTATCCTAACAAACCATACATCAATGGAAAGCTTGTTTATTCATGATGTATAACAAAAAAATTGACCCTTATGACTGGTTTTGTGGTCCAGGGTCACATATGCTGCTGGCTGTCCTTTCAGCACAGAATACAAATAAATAAATAAATAAATATCACATATTGCAACTATTAATTTAAAAAAATATTTGAACATATTCTAACTGAAGCTGCATTTTTACGTCCGAATTAATGCTTAATAATAATAAAGTTTCATGCTATACAATCACAAAAATAATGCATATAAAAATGTAAATGTAAAATAACAACAAAACAATTAAAATCAATCAATGCTGCCAAATCACTCTGGAGTCACACACAAAACCAAACTCCATCATAATTACAGACTGAAATTAATGTTGTCTTCGAGATTACTGGTGTTATTTTGAAGAACTGTTTTCTTATTAACTAATGAGATGGCTATAAAAGACAATGGAACCGTAACCATGATGGAAATTTGCCTGAAACGCTCGTAAATACAGCGATTATAACACTTAGGCCACTGCTGTAAATAAAGCATTTTCTGGCTTGTTTTAAAAGCGTATCATTTAGCCAACCTCTACATGATTTCTGGCTGTGTTTTATGACGCGTTGCTCGTTCGCTCGAATGTCTCGCAGTTATAACGAGCGGAATTATTCAGCCTGCTGTTTAACAGCGTGTTTGCTGCAGTTTTCTGGCGGAATCAGAGTCGAGTACACTCATATCAACGTATCAGCACTCGAGCTTTTGCATTTGTTTACTCATTAAACTGTGTTTCATTACACTTCTGTAGGCTAAATGGGTTCACGGTATGATATTCAAGGCTCGTTCGGTTTATTCTAGATGCAGTGCAGTTTCGTCTTCAGATACCTAATTCTCGAGCGTCTGATTGGCTAGCAATCGTTCATCAGAGGGAAAAACCGCTCTAAAAATGATTCCAAAGATCCTCTGTGTTGTTATTGGGATTTATTTAAAGCTGGAACGGTTTAAAA